CGGTGTTGCTGTGCTTTGCGTACGTGGCTAGTCGTCGGTCGCCTGTGCTGTGTTGTGTGTGGTGGCTGTGTCGTGAGAGTGGCGTGTTGGTGTTTTGTGTGTGTGAACAGACGAGGAGGAGAAGAGAGAGGAGAGAGAGAGAGAGAGAGAGAGCATAAGCAGAGATGAGAACACATGAGAGGGCAGTGTGTATGTTGCGTGAGAGAAAAAAGAGGCTGTGCGTGCTGTGTGTGTGAGAGAGAGAGATGTGCGCGCGCGTGTGTGTGATGACGTCAGAAAGGAGATGTGCGTGCGCTATGCGCCTGCGTGGTGTGTGGTGTGTGTGTGTGTGTGTGTGTGTGTGTGATTGCTGTGTGTTTGTGTGTGTGTGTGTGAAAGAGGCGCATGTGCGTGTTCTGTGTTGGTGTGGGTGGACATAGAGAGAGACAGGAAGGGGAGTTAGTGTATTGTCAGAGCGACGAAAGAAGAGAGAGAAGAGAAAGAGAGAGAGAGAAGAGGAGAGAGGGAGGTGGGCGCGGCGTGCGTGTGTGTGCCGTGAGGAGATCCGGGAGCGAGCGGCTGCTATGTGCAGAAGAGAGAGAACAAGAAAAGGAGAGAGAAGAGCGAGGTGTTGCGAGGCGTGTGCGCGCTCGTGGTGTCGTAGCTGTCGGTTCGACGAGAGGAAGAGAGACCCAGGGTGCTTTCAAAATCCTGGCAAAGATATTAGCATAATATACATTAGCATTCAGATACATATACTCTGTCAAATCATGTATGTGGACCTGTCTTCCATATCATTCGGTGACACTGTATGAGTGTATGTATGGATCTTAATGAGCATAGAAATAAATCCATGTGCTGGAATCTTGAAGTCTTGACACCGGATGGAGGGGGACGGTGTTTTGTATGGACAGCGGATGCATGCACTGGATTCATCATCTGATTCTAGTCAATAATTCAGCGAGTAGATAAATAGAGAATTTTAAGATATAATCTAGCATGCTGCATGCAAAGAGTAGTCGATAGCACCACTGCTGAAGAGAAAACGGGTATACACCGATGAAGGGCAACCGACGAGTTAGACGGTCTGGCTCCGCGCTGTTATACAAGCTGGGTTCTATAACGCAGGAGGGTGCGTTGACCAGCATGGGGTCGTCTGGGGTTTTTTGCGGGGTCATGAAGGTGTAATAAATAACAAATTCCTATTAAATTCCATATAAAGCTGCTTTTTTTTTATAAAAAAAACATAAACAGTTGTTTCGGGGTATCACTCGGTACTCGACCAAGAATTGTCCCTGATGGGCGTCTCTGGGCAAACAGGTTAAGAAGCCACTGCTCTAATTACAACCATAATAAAGCTGCACAGCAGCACATTAGAAAAATGAAATGTCACTCACTCGGGGTGGGCATACCCATAACACATAACTTCACCGTATCGTCATCTGGAATGTGTGTTTGGTTACAATTGGATAAGAGTGCCGCGAAAACGTGCTATAAGCAGCGTCGTCCCAGAAAGTGTTAAAAAGCTAAAACGTTATCGTGTTTATTAATTTATTTTAATAAAATTGTATTAATAGTCATATTGATTTTAACTACTTATATTAAAATAAATTTAATCATAAATTTTATTTATAGAATTTTTTTTTTCACCAAATCACACCGCCAGGCACTTGAACGGTGTTTCAAATAAGAAAACAAGGTAAATAAACACGAAATAGAACTTAGTACGTAGCTTGTCCGGAGCGTGTCTATTTAATATAATATCTAGAAAAACGACCGGCGACTTCTACAATTGAAAGTTGTTGTTTTTTGATAGAACGTTAATTTATATGTGTAAATATACAAAAAAAGTATATATCAATGTATTATGAATTTTTTTATAGCCTAGGGAATATTTTTATTGTAGTTTGTACGATATTTGCCTGTAATGATCCTACGATTATCTGGCAATAAACCTTAATATGATGATTATTTAATCCAACTCCTCCACGTCCAACACGGTTGGGTCCGTGGGGTTCAGGATCGCACGTCGGAGGTATAAAATTACAATGAGAGAATAACAGATAACTGCTAGGGCCAGGTACATCCGCGTCATTAGCACAGAAAAAACAAAAACGAACCACCAGCCAGAAACACAGCCACAGTTCCACTTGCCTCGCCCTGGCTAGACGCGCTCACCTATAAATTACAGATTACCATACAACAGCTAACATAAAACGAGTTCCTTCCTCGCAGTTCAAGCCTCGGGTGGCTATTTGGCTGTATTAAATATATAGCGTTAACGATTCCACTTATAGCTCTACCTTGCATATCCAGCCCGGCAGGCGAAGCGAGATACCACTAAAAATGTGTGTATCTGCACTCTCGGCAGAGCTAGGGTACACTCACAGGAATGACACGGGTGGATTCAGGTGAGACACCGCCAGCTACTGCGCACTAAAACTATATCGTATAAAATATATACCGTCCTCTGTATTCCACCGCGACGTGATCATATGTACTCTGCCTCAACAATCCAGCCTAGCTAGCCTCCCAGGAGAGTAACACAAGGATATATATATATATATATAATATTACATACTCTAGTCTGGCAGTTTTAGGGAAAATTCGCGCGCCCTGACGATTCTCGTTTTTTTTGGCGCAATACGTTCTTGCTGGTGGAGTTTTTTTTACCAGACCGGCAGCTAACCGGCAGCTAAGTGTCCGTAACAAGATTTCTCTCTCACCTCGTCGACTTGCCGAACCCGCGAAAACCATGCATACGCTACAGACGGCAATCTCGCAGACGACGCAGTTTCTCGGCAGCAACGTCGTCAGCGTCGTGTGTCGCGTCACCCGCGCTCTGCGTGTCGTCGTACTGGATCTGAAGCGACCGCGTGGAAGTGCCGCCCGACCCCGGCGCTGCCCGTCGCGCCGCTCCGTCTCCAAATGAGGCATGCATGCATGGACACTACCTCAGGCGACCTGAGGAGACGTCGACCCTATATTAGATCTACTGTCGACGGTCGGCAGGTGATTATGACATTTAATAGTGTCCCAGCTTCCCCGTATAATATATTCCAACATACTTACTAGATCTGAACGGGTAATACAAATGAAATATACTATAATGTATATATAATTATATATATTAATATTATCATATACTGTGTGATGTTGTGTGTTGTTGCGTGGTGTTGTGTTGCGCAGCGCCATCGTTAGTGTTAACGCGCGCGCAGTTATGTGCTTGCGTGTGTGTGTGTGTGGTGTGGGTGTGTTGTGTGTTTGCGCGCGCGGCCGCCGTGTGCGTCGTGTTGTGCTGTGCTCGTAAATGTGTGTGTGTGTTGTGTGTTGGTGTGGTTGTGCGGTGTGGTGGGAGTGAGTGTGTTTGTGTGTGTTGGTGTGTGTGTGTTGTGTGTTGTGTGTGTGTTGTGTGTGGTGTGTGTTGCAATTACCCATTATTGGCGACGTAACAATAATCTTTATATTATAATATATACTATATATTATATATATAAATATATATATAATAGGCTGGATATGCAAGGTAGAGCTATAAGTGGAATCGTTAACGCTCTATATTTACTACAGCCACAATAGCCACCCGGAGCTGAACTGTGAGAAGGAACCCCGTTTTATGTTACCTTGAAAATTACCAAGAATTTGTTATCTTGTGGACTAAACCTCCCGCTGTATAGTATTTACTGTGAAAGCAGCTGCGTGGCCTCGGATTGAGGAAGTGGAGATATAGGCACCGCCGCTATGCGCCACATAGGCACGGGAAGGGATTTAACTTAACTTTATATAGATCTACATGCTGGCATTGTTGGTTTCATCCCCACCCATCGCGACATTGCGCAGTTACCCACGCGGTGGGCCGAGCAGAAATACATATACGATCAGCACGTAAACATACGCACACAAATGCATTTAGAATACATCGAGGTATTATCTCCTCTTGACCAAGGTCAAGTCGGTGTAACCGAGCTGAACGGCTGCGTATAGATGTCACCTGTAACGACCGGAACCACGAGAGGGATGTGCGACGTATTCCCGTGTGTCATTAGCTATTGTATAGTAAAAAACGCTGACGGTACATCGGTCGTGTGAGACGCAGGAAAACATTCAAGAATGAAAATGGTGGTAAATGAACACGGAAGGTATTTACTACCAAAGTATTAATGTTTATCCATTCTCTTTCGCATAATTATTATTAGTGATAACTTCCTGTGAAAGCCGTTCAAATACTGCTCTGCAACATGCAGTTTCGCCGCACGCACGCCGTTGTACACAAACAATTAACAGAATTATAAAGAACTCTATATTTCTGTTGTTTACAGTGCATAGCAGCGTGCGTGCGGGGAGATTAATGCGTGTTGTGAAACAGCATTTGAACGGCATTTACGTGGAATCATTATTCGATAGAGAATATATAAACATTGAGACTTTGGTAGTAAATACATTTCGTGTTTATTTACCATCGTTTTCTTATTGAAACGTTCCAAGTGCCTGCGGTGTGAGTGAAAAATTATAAATAAAATTTATGATAAAATTTATTATTAATAATAAGTACTAAAATAATGACTATTAATACAATTTTATTAAAATAAATTTAATAACACGATAACGTTATAGTTTACAACTTTCCTGGAACGCTGCTATAGAACGTTATTCGCGGACTCTATCCATGTAACCAAACCACAACATTCCAGGAGCGATACGGGAACGTTATGTGTTAACTGGGTATGCACCACCCGAGTGAGTGCAATTTAATTTTTCTATGTGCTGCTTGCAGCTTTATTATGGTCGTATTAGAGCAGTGGTTCTTAACCTGTTTGGCCCCAGGACCCCATCAGACATTCTTAGTCAGTACCGTGAACCCCGAAACAAATATTTAAAAAAAACAGCCAGATTTATATGGAATTTAAATAGATTTGTTTTATTTATTACACCTTCATGACCCCCGCAAAAAACCCCAAACGACCCCCATGGGGTCACGACCCCCAGGTTAAGAACCGCTGTATTAGAGCGTAGAGCAGGCACCGTCTAAGGTGCCTTTCGCGTATACCCGTTTTCCTTCAGCCAGCCGGGCTAATCGACTATCTTTGATCAGGAGTAGATAATCTCCTATTATCTACTCCTGATTTGATGAATCCAAGATGATGATCCAGGGCATGCAGCCCGCTGTCAACAACACAACGTCCCCTCCCCCCGGTTCTCAGGATTCAAGATTCAGACATGTTTATTTGTGCATAAGACATACATACATACATACAGTGTACAACAGATTCAGATTCATTTTATTTTGCACTTTTCATTCATTTGTACAGATATGAGAATGACAAACCGAAGATATGAGAATGACAGGTCACAATACATGATTTGACAGATATATGTATTGATGTATGTATATATGTATATCTTTGACAGATGAAGCACGGGGGGTGGCGAAGGACCCGAGGGTCGGGTGTTCAAAGGTTCATCAAGATGTTCTCGATTCAGACACAGGATGATGAGCTATCGTTGAATAACAAAATCAGCGTTTTTCAGATTTCGAGTGGTTTCGTATTCCGTGTACTGATTGAAATATTCCCGCACATACATATAGGGCCTACGCGTAAGGCGCTGTACATATTACGCGGATATTGCAGACACGGGTGCACATGCATCTGACGCTAGGGTGCGCTGTAGCATTGATCTGTTAGTCTATGGCACTGGTCTATGGCAATGGCATGGCCACTGAAAATCAGGGGCGTGCACAGGATTTGTACCAGGGGTGGGTCTAACCGTAACCCAAACCTGCGAGCACGCGAAGGGGGGGTCTGGGGGGCTCTCCCCAGAAATTTTTTGAAATTAGACCCCCTTAGATGCGTTTTCTGCGCGAGCAGGAGGGGGTCCGGACCCCCTGGACCCCTCCCCCCCGTACACGCTCCTGCTGATCTCTATATACTAACACGGGAGCATATACCAACACAATATACTAGCACTACATACCACACACTATACACGGGACTATACACTAATAATTATGTTAGAATGTAGTGATCAGTGGACTTGACATGTTATCGTCTCATAAATTTCCCGATAGGTGGCGCTGTTGATTATTATTTGATCCTTGGTGTCTTGCTCAGCTTCAGGTGAAGTTTGTTTACGAACATTTTATAGAGGAATTTATCGTATATATGCTACGAAGATTACAGATGTGACTTCCCAGCTTTCTGATGTTCAGACACGAGTGGTGTAACGTGATATCATTATCAAATAAGCAAGAACAGGAACGCTAACACAGTGCTGCTGAGTCAGGCCTCCCCCATTGAGTCGTGTTAATATTTTCTCCTTTTTCTTTTTTTGGTAGCCGTGCGGCTGTGGTTTTTACTAACCGTCCATAGCATAGTACACTGATGCAAGCTGTAGCAGTAGTCTGTGGCCTCTACACTCCGCGTTACATGTTGCATATTGCATACGTTACGAGGCTTACATGTTGCATAATGCTTTATTGACAATATTATGGTCGATGGATTGGCCAGAGCTGCCTCCCAATCATTCCAGGTGGTTGAGTCAGTTGCTTGCAATTGCTTTCACTTTCAGTTACCCATTGTACTATCGTGATGTTATATTTTTAAGTGGCATGTACATGTAAATTATATATGTTGTCCTTAGGTTTTTGGTTCGCCACCAATCGACCTGAGCTGATAAATTGATGAAGAAAAAATGCCAAAAAAGTTCAAAGGGGAAAATTCGAAAGCTGCTGTTGCCAAAGAGAGGAAACAAGCCAAGCTGACAGAGGAAAAAGTAAAGAAACTGCAAGCTGAAGATGATGCATACTGGGCGGACGATGATAAGCATGTAGCGAGAAAGCAACAAAGAAAAGTGTGTAAAAATACCAATTGCATGTGGTTATAAGAACTAGCGATTAATTGCATAAATAGTCGTACACATATATATATATATATATACATACACATACACATACACGCACGCGCACATGCACACACACACGCACACACACACACACACACACACACACACACACACACCACACACCACACACACACACACACACACAACCACACAATTCTGCTCAGTTCTCTCCTTCTCTCTCTCTCCTCCGTCATCTCTCCTTCTCAATCTTCTCTCTCTCTCTCCTGCTCTCTCTCTCTCATTCTCCTCTCTCTCTCTCTCTCTCTCTCTCTCTCTCTCCTCTTCTATATATATATATATATATATATATACTCGATCCACACAGCAATATTGCATGGATATGTTCAGTGTTACTGCATGCCCAAGTAATGTGCTGTTTATGTAAGCACAGATATAGGGTTGCAGGGTTCTCTCCGGGAATTTTAGTAGGCATGTCGTTTATGAATGGAAGAGGGAGGGCCCGGGAGGGTTGATTGGCCTAGTTTCATTTGCTTGCATGTCTTGAAACAAACTTCAATCACTAATTTTATTTAAGAAGTATACATATATCTAAATTTAGTTCTATACCCTATTATTTTTAGTTTCACCATATGTTGATTAATAATGAAGCAGACTTCATGTTTATACTATACTGCCATTTTATCTACGAACTGTTTTAGCCCCTGTGCCCTTTTCTACATTAGGCACCTTTTTTGGTTATCTGACCACTTACTTAATAGATCCTGTTTAGGCTCGATAATTGAGATTCCTATGCACCTGATGTTTGATTTTCGACCTTGATCTCATGAGCATTCTTATTTCCTGCAATAAAATCTAAGGAGATTGAATGAAGTCACATTTTAGAATTGTCGCGTTTCTCACGTGTTATCGCGCAGGAAGACCAAGAGCGAAAGAAACAGGAAGCTCAACAGAAGAAGCTGGAAGCGAGACAGCTACTCGAGGAGGAAGATGCTAAACTGAAGCCAACTCTTACTACAGGGCAGTATACTGCCAAGGTTACACGAGCTCAGATTCAGGCTCATGCAGAGAAGGTGGCAATGCAAGGTGAATTCAACTATAGTTGACTGATGCGTGCATGTTTTAATCTTCATCCACATTACATATCACCAGGAGACATTAAATTTTATAGCATTAATATTTTTCTAACTTTCTTCTAAGTGGCTATATAAGAGAGAATATATTATTCGTTTGTGTTATTTAACAGTAATGAGAAAAACGATCTATTTCATTTTTAATGATTTTGCTATATAAAGATATATATATATGTATACATGTTTATATACGTGTGTGTGTGTGTATGTTTTGCAGAGCGATTGGAGAGAGCGAAGGCCAATAAAGAAGAGAGTCACATTGAGAAGCCTCTGGATGAGAACATTAATAGACTCACGGCTGATGGTGAAGCGGCCAGAACAGTGGCGGAGGCCATCGCAGTGTTGTCGTATGTTGCACACTTTGTCTATCAGCTTGTAAACCTTGTGTTCATGAACAGAGAGTATGTTCAATGCCTGCACTTTCCACCTGGAAAATTTTCCCATGGTTAGCTGATAAGATTTGGAATATTAATTTGAGATAAATTCACGTTGAAATGGTTTATGCAGGGAGATTATTTATTTTTGCTTTGGTTCGCTTGATATCTGAATGGATTTTGTGATTTACATGCCTTGCAACAATTGCTAATGGTGTGTGAAAGTGGAGACTGAATGGGTTATACGCTGACCTGTATTGACAATGCTCTGTGTTTTAGGGTGAACGATGAGCCAGCATTGGACAAACACCCTGAGAGGAGAGTGAAAGCAGCCTACCTAGCGTTCGAAGAGCGCAGACTACCTGAGCTGAAAGCAGAAAACCCGAGCATGAGACTTTCGCAGCTCAAACAAATGCTGAGGAAAGAGTGGCAGAAGTCTCTCGAAAACCCGATGAATCAGTGACGTACACTTTACAGTTGGAGTAGAGGTTCCTGTAAGGTAACATACACTGCTGATATAAGACCCGGTGGATTTCATTTTAATATCTGATTGAAGCCTTGGTTCAGTGTATCACTCCAGACACATTGAGATAGATGTTGATATCAAATTCCAGCCAAATCAACTTTTTTGTCATATATCCATTGTAATAGGAAACTACTATTTCTGTCGTCATATTACATTATATATAGCAATAGCTTGGGCTATTTTTTTAGAATTAGAAATATTGTTTCAGCTTACAATGAACCAGCGCAACCTACATTTCAAGGTGTATCTTTATTATTTTCAAGTTAACTCGAACCAGGAGCATTTTAATTTATTTATATTGATTTAATAACTTGTTTCAAATTTGCAACTTTTTCGAGTTGATTTAAAGATATTAAACGTGTATTTCTACTTAAGAAGTAGGTGGTAAGATATGATGGAAAATATTGATGTCTGTCTGTTAATCAGTGGTGGATAATTGAATTGGATACACAGAGACAATAGGCTCATGTGTAGCTTTCAGAAAGTAATAAAGTGTTTAGTAATGACTCATTACTGCTATCTCATTTTCCAAAACTAAACTGCAATGATTGCCTGTAATAATATAGACAAGGTTACCACACTTTTTACGATTATGAGTGAAATTGTGTTGAATGTACGTGATAGCCTTCATTTGAGTAACATATTATAAACACACGTATTCTCATATATGCACGCACGCACGCACGCACTCACTCACTCACTCACTCACTCACTCACTCACTCACTCAGGCATGCATGACCACTAACATACAGATGTACATACTTTCGTACTATATATACTAAGTTATTTGACATACTCATGTGATATTACTCAGTTATGCACAGAAGAAGGACACATCTTAGTTTGCTTTTTCATCCCCATTCGATTTATTTTCATGGCAATCGTTAACAGCACAGCCTTGATGTGCCCACCACGTGAGTGCACTCGTCACTAACTACCCTCAGGGAAGTACTTACCATAGATATTCACTATTTAATAAGTATACACGGCCATTACTAGCTAATATACGAAGCTGTAACCTCAGTTTGTTTGCATACTGTGCGAGTGACTAGCATTACTAAAATCAAGAAATAAATACAACACGATGCACACGGATGTGTTATGTGCGGTGCCACAATATCTCTGCACAACCTACAAAACGCAAAAATTCGTCGACATTCAACTCTTTGGACCGTATTTCGACAAGGTAATCAAGCTCCATAGGTAACACTACATGTAAATAAAGACGATTGGATCATCTAGGTTGGAACTCAACCAATGACTGCGCTAAGATAATTGAAATCTCATTCAAATTCCAAACAAATCACCATTGTCCTGAACTTGTCACCCGTGATTTAAAAATGAATAATGAATAAGCCGTGGCGTTTACTTGATTTATACACTACATAGCAATTATAATATTCTACATGGCCTATATGCTATGAAGTGAACACATACAAATTGCTGTTGAACAATTTCTAAACAAAACAGTGGCATTATGCAATGACTATAAAGGGCACGGCGTGGCTCTTAAAATTACAATTACATTAATTACAATTAGTTACGGCTACGACTCGCTACTTTACAAGCGAGTCGGACACAGGAGCATGCACAGCAACCGCTGACGTTATACGAGACCCGTTAGTAACCACTGCACCGTTACATCACCTGTGATTACAGTTGTTACTCATGAACTTCTGTGTAGAAGAATTTCAGCTACCCTGTTATGACCACCCTGGGATTTCCCCTTGTTACCTACGTCATACCACAGCTGAGAAATACCGGGTGTAACCCAATTACGAGGTTTTGGGGGATGCATAACCACAATTACCCTCCAGCCATACAAGACCCGATCCCAGTAGGGTTGTAGCTGGGCTCCACAGAGCAAAGAGTGTGAGGTTAACTAACCGGAGCTTAACTAAAGTTAAGTTTCTTAAGCAAGTGTTCAACGGACTGCATGCGGTATTCCACACGTTAAGAATCACCGTATTCCAACTTGAAGCTCTGTATGTAAATATGTATATATATATATACTACTCATAAGCATTGTTCTTTCATTATAAATACCATGCTAAATAGCAACTCCTATATTTTTTTTTTGGATGAAGTGTCGAAAAAATTTCTTTCAAAATTTTTCAACACCCATCATTTTTTGATGTTGTCAAGCTGTTTAGCTGTGTGACAACAAGCTTTCTTTCAGTATCATATTGACACGTACATTATATAGCGGCAATATATAAACGACAAAAGCTGGCATTATGAACCATTCCAGCGGCATCGTAACACACTGCACTGCGTTCCATCCTCTTCACACTGTCTGCAAAATTATAATACAACTGCTTCAACAAATATTCCGATTCTCCGTCGTCACACGAATGCATACGATGGAAAAATTATCACTAGTATGGTAAAAAAAGACGCAATCAAATTCAGGCACAGGTATAACAGTAGCACCTTACATATATACATACACCACATGGAAACGCAGCGACCCCCCCCCCCCAATTCCATACCAAGTGGGCATATCACACAGACCTATAGCGCAAATTTAGTACCACTGAAGAATTACAATTTGAATCAAATTTTAAAAAAAACCGAAGGTAGGCATTCATCTTTACAAAGACGTTCATCACAGATGCAGAGATGCCAACACATATTTGAAGCAATCTGTTGTAGTTTCTGGCCATGAAATTAGTAGATCGAGGGTCTACTAAGGGTCCGGCATGCCCCCCGGAAAAATCTTTGATTCTGAGATGCAATTTCCTGCATTCTGAGGGTCAAAAATGACAACAAATTGACAAAAAATGACAATAATTGACAACAACAAAATTTCGATCACAGTGAAATTCGTAGTTTGATACAAACTGGTCGTAGTGGTGCAAAAGGAATAGAAATTCGTATAAAATACGGATAAATCGTAGTGGTTGGCATCCCAGCAGATGGCGCCACGCGATCAAATTAACAGAAGCCTCTGACATGATTCCGATTTCGATACCCAGTCAAACAAGAGCGTAATCCCACTACGTTGTCTGACCACTACTTACAGCTGTTATGCGTTGTCTCACCATTACTTATCTGTCCATTTCTAGATGCCTTCGCTAAATAAGTCAGCAATAAAGATTGACGTGGTTGTCGGTTCTACACGCGGTTTATTGGAACGAAGCACGTGCCACACACACTTCTGTATACGCTATATATTTCGCGGGGAATTTTAATCTTAGCGAATTTCGGGCACGCGTCCACGACCGCGAAAATGGCAACACGCGAATAATTCATACCGAATAATACCGAACAATTCATAAATCACCGACCGCGAAATTGTCAGGCAAGTCTGAATTCGCGAAAATATCTGTACGCGAAAAATATCGCGTATACAGTAATCGGTGAGTGATCCTCTTTTACAGGCAAGTGCCCACACACGACGAAGCTAGCTAGCATCGCTGTCAATCACTCTCACTGTGCACTGACAAACACTGACCCATATAATAAGAGCGACGACACTCGAGATAACTCGACGATCAGGTTAACATCGCGGCGCAGCGGAGACGACACCTAGTGGACGCGGTTATGCGGGCAATGCGTGCGCTCGCGCGACAATAACGAGCTAAAGCCGAGCGCGCAACGACGAATGAGAGACTCGAAAGCGAAGCATCGTTTACGTGTCGTCGCTTAGCACGCTCCGATCGCGAAGCCGATTGGCTAGAGCCGCCGGCCAATCACGTCGAGCGGTCTCGTTAATTAAAAAAAGACTTGGAAGCAAATCGGCGGCGCGGCTGCCTGTTGGCCCGCCGTGTGCCACGCCCGCCGCGTGCGCACTCACGACTCAAACCACAGCCGCCACTGCCCGTCGGCCCGACGCGCCGCCACCACCCGCTCGTGCTCAGAACTCGAGCCTGATCTCCCGCTCAGAACTTGGAACTCGATCCTGAACGCCCGCTCAGAACTTAGAACTCGATCCTGAACGCCTGCTCAGAACTTGGAACTCGATCCTGAACGCCCGCTCAGAACTTGGAACTCGATCCTGAACGCCCGCTCAGAACTTGGAACTCGATCCTGAACGCCCGCTCAGAACTTAGAACTCGAACCTGAACGCCCGCTCAGAACTTAGAACTCGAGCCTGATCTCCCGCTCAGAACTTGGAACTCGATCCTGAACGCCCGCTCAGAACTTAGAACTCGAGCCTGAACGCCCGCTCAGAACTTAGAACTCGAGCCTGAACGCCCGCTCGCGCTCAGAAATTAGAACTGGAGACTGAACGCCCGCTCGCGCTCAGAAATTAGAACTGGAGACTGAACGCCCGCTCGCGCTCAGAAATTAGAACTGGAGACTGAACGCCCGCTCGCGCTCAGAAATTAGAACTGGAGCCTGAACGCGCGGCATGACTTAGAACTCGAGCCTTAACGCCCGCTCCCACTCAGAAATTAGAACTCGAGCCTGAATGCGCGGCAGGAGGTCTCGTGGTCCTGCAGGTTGACGGTGCATCGCGCGGCGGCAGGGGCCAGCTCGACGCTCAGCCGCGACATCTCGTCCGCACGCAGCGCGAGCCAGTAGCCGAGCGCCTCCACGTCGTCGTAGGTCGGCACCACCGTCGCCGGCAGCGTCTCCCCCCCGCCCCCGCCTCCCCCCACGTCGCCTTCCCCTCCAGGAGGCGGCCGAGCATCTCCATCGACGGGCTGCGGCAGCTCAGCACGTAGTATCGCGCGCGAACGCGCCGGAAGAAGTCGACGTCGCCGCCGCCGCGCGCTGGAACGTACGCGAGGTCGACGTAGACCGGCACCACCGGCTTCGACGGCGCCGCGCGCCGCGACGACGCCGGCGGTGGCGCCGCCGCCTTGTGGAGCGACGTCGGACGCTTCGGCGGCGACGCCTGCCGCCGGAGACTCGAGTCGGACTTGACGGAGGAAGATTTCGTCGACGATGTGGCGGCGCCGGATCGCGCTGCGGCTTTCGCCGGGGAACGCTCCGCGTCCTTCCTGGCGGCGGAGGTGCGAGCGGCAGGGCCGGGCGCGGGGACCCCCATCGGCTCGTCGGAGCCGAGGATCGCTGCTTCCATCGCGTCGTAGTTGGCCTGGTCGGGAGAGAGCACGGCGTCTCCCCCGCCCGCCCGCGCTGCAGCCGGCTCCACGGCGACGGCGACGGTTTTCATCACGTCGTTTTCGACCGGGGTGGTCATCCCGGTTCCCTCGACTGGGATGGTTTTTCCGATTTCATCCTCGATGTTATCCTCAACCGGGGTTGTTTTCATGATCTCATCATCAACTGGACTGGTTTTCCCGATGTTATCCTCGACTGGGGATGGTTTCCCGATGTGATCTTCGTCTGGGGTTGTTTTCCCGATGTCATCCTCAACTGGGGTTGTCTTTCCAGCTCCCTCTATCGGGGTGGTTTTCCCGGCTTCCTTTATCGGCGAGGGCTTCCCGGCACGCTCCTCGACCGGAGAAGTCTTCTTCGCCTTCCTCGGGGAAACCTCCCCGGACCGCGCCCCTCCCCCTCCTCCCGCCTTCTTCCCGGGACTCCCCACCTCCGTCCTACCCGCCCTTGCACCTCCCTTCGGCGTAGTCGGCGTAGTCGGCGTCGACCGCTTCGGGGAAGCTGTCGCCGCCGTGAAGGAGGAGGAAAGGGGTTTCTTCTTCGGGGACGGCGGTGTGCGCTTGCCCGCGGCGGCGGTGGCGGAGGCGGCTCCATTCGCGACCCCGGACGACCTCGCAGACCTGCCGCTAGCGGACGACGACGGGCGAGCGGGCGGGGCCCTCCCCGCTACTCCTCCCTTCACCCCCGCCGCCGCGCCGCCCTTCCCCCTCCCGGCCGCCCGCAGCGAGTTCTCCGTGCACTCTGCGTGCTGGAGGAAGTCGAGGCCCTTGAGGCGGTCGAGCCCGTCGAAGAGCTTCTCCTGGGGGCACACTCCGGGAAAGAGGATGCGTGTGATGCTGTCGTCGGGCGAAGCGGGAAGCCATACGAGGAGTGCGGCGATGGACGCCGCGTCTGCCGTCGCCGCCCGGCCTTTCTTCTCGCTTCCCCAATGCGCGAGGTAGTCCCGCAGCTCCCGGCTGTCGCGAACGGGGTTGAGCACGTACATGTGGAGGGTTCCGTGCCCGACCTTGTGGTAGAGCCGCGTCGGTTCCGCGGTGGCGGCGGCGCGCGCGGTGGGCATCGGACGCAGCACGCCGGCGCGGCGCGCAAACTCCAGCGTGCGTGCGACCTCCGCTGCGACGCTCACAATGAGGTCCCCCCGCGGTTCCGGAACGGCTCGTTTCTCCGGCGCGTTCGCGAAGAGGCATCCGACGTGTGGGTAGATGCCCTCCCCTCCTTCCGCCGCCTCCGCCTTGCGTCGGAACGCCGCGCGCAGCCCGAAGACGTTGTCAGGGGCGGCGCGCGTCGCGAGGACGGCGTCGACGCGATCGAGGTGGCGCGCAAAGTTCCAGAAGCAGGCGTCGCGCGAGAACCCGCCGTCGACGAGCATCGTGAACCCTGCAACGCCGAACAGCGCGGCGTCGCCGTCGCCGCCCGGGAACACGTAGACGCACGGCCGGCTGAAGCGCACGCTGCCGACGACGCTCGACGCCGCCAGCAGCTCGACGAGCGGCGCTACCTGGAGGCGGTCGCCGGCGGTCGCGGCGGCGGCTGCGACGCCGGGGGATGCGGCTGGGAGCGAGGCGGCGTCGCTGTTCACGGAGAGGTTGAGTTTCTTCGTGAGGCCATTGCGCGCCGCGCCCGCGTTGCTCCAGTCGCCCTCCCTCACACTGTTTACGCTGACGACGGCGTCCTGCTGCTGCTGCAGCGCCTTCGCCACCTGCAGGGGAAAACACAAAGCGTCAGGATGCTCGGAATCTCGCAGGCGGCAGGTGTTGCCGCGGTTGCCCTCCATGGTCGCTGTGGCGATGATGGGCAGGTGGCTGTGGCCGTGTTCTACCCGATTTGCCCCCAACGTTATCATAAATTTAGGAGGCAATTGTCACATCATTTTCCATTAAAAATGTACACAAAACTCCTTCTGATTCACCTTTAATGCAATTCATTTGCAAATGTGTCATTCGAATAGCACACTCGTTATTCTTGCAATGCATAAACCTATGTAGTGTTTACGTAATGCGAATACACTCTACACATACAATCTATGTGTTTACATGTATGTTAATATCAATCGCTGACATACCTCGGCATCAGCTATTACACCGGCAAAGTCATCGATGGCGAATGCTCCGTCCGACAAAATCCACGCCCCTGCAAGATTGTGAAATAGCAGAGTTGGCCAACACAGTAAAAACGTAGTGTTATGTGTTTTCAATCAAAGCCTTTAGATATGATCAAAGATTCTAGTACCGTTTAGCAATTCAAATAAAAGATCAACCTAGGTATGCTACATAAAATGATTTTTTCACTCAGTTTCAATTTTTAATTGTTATGATAGACATCTATTTCTAATTGACAGGTACACTATATATACACTCTACACATGAATGTAATTCACCTGAGCCCTGGAACACAAATCCTGAGAAGACAATGTACTTATAATGGCTGGCAGCCATCAGCAAGTCCTTGATGCCCTGCTTTGCGGCCTTCATCCCTGCCTGCAGTATAACCTCCACTGTCAGGTGATCGCTCTTGTGCGAAAGCACCAATTCACCTGCAGAAATGAAGTAAGAAATCACATGTATCATTGCTATAGATGATAGTAGGTTTTAGTGACCTACGTGTCAATTTCAAAAAAATATGTACGTAATATATATGTCAGGGTTCTGCCCAGGATTTTTTAGTGCCGGGCCCATCCAGTTGCGACGATGCAAGCGCCGTAGCCAATCTAGTGGGGTCCGGGGCATGCCCCACGGAACATTTTTGATTTTGGAGTCTGAAACTCAATTTCCTGCATTCTGAGCAATAAAACGCCCATATATCACCTTTTTTTTTCTTCTTTTTTTTAAATATTAAAAATTAGTGCCGGGCGGAGATATATAGTGCCGGGCGGCAACCGCGAGTGCCGGGCACACCCGACCACCGCCGCCCACCGTGGGCAGAACCCTGATATGTTGGTTATATTATTTTTGAGATGACTAGACCATAGTAAATTAGTGTAATTAGCAATTAATTACACTTGTGTGTAATTATAAATATTTAATGAAACTATTTAGATCGTTTTCATGGTATGTCATATTCAGGAAATAATTATGATGCTTCAGGCTATCTGCCCATACGTTGCAGCAAAACCGCGGCGCGGCCCCGCCCCGTTTGGGAAAACTGCCCGCGCCCGCCGTGTTCAATCGTTCGGGCCACGAAAACAGGGCTGAGTTGAGTCAGGCTTTGGAGGGCGCGCCGCTGGCTGGCTACTGCGAATTGAGGGGCCGACCTGCGGCAAGAATTCCCATTCGGACATGGCAAAGCAAGAACAAGTCCGCAAACCTGCAGCTACAGCAACACACCGCATCTATTGACTATTAAATATATAACAACGTTATATATAGTTGTTATAGTAGTTTATAGTTGTTATAGTAGGCTATAGTTTTTATAGTAGTTATATATAGACTATATATAGATGTTTGTTATATTATAGTGCAAGTAGAATGCGGTGTGTTGTAGCTGCAGGTGCGCGGGACTTGTTCTTGCTGGGCGAGTGAATTCGACCAGGCCGCCCTGGACCCCCCTATTTCCCGTTGCCCCTCCCCCCATCCGCCTACCGCCCTGTTTTTCAATTTCATACCTGGAGGGAGAGGGGCTGAGGGGGAGGAAAAGGTCCCTGCGCTTATAGTTATATGTAACCATCTAGGCATCTACATTGCTAATTTACTGACATCGATTGACTTCAGGGACCTGCTACATATGTTGTTTGTCATGGACATGCATGAACGCACGCACGCATCTATGGACCAAAATTTAAAGGGAGAGTTTACTCTTATGGTTCTAGCGGTTATTTTGCAGCTATTTGGAGGTTAGTAATTACGCTACGCAATAAGAATAAGTCATGGTTCATCAACCATTAGAGAATATTTTAAAAAAGTTTTAAAACTGAACGACGTACAGTGTGATTACAACGGACGGGTGGGCGCGCCAGTCAAGGCGACAGATCTGAGAAGTTGGCGCAAAACGGCACTTTCCAGCCAAGGGCATACAGACGCGAGGGGTGGTTTCTTATTTATTACATTTAAAAGCAAAAAGGATTGTAATATCTTATAAACGATCATATAGGTTTCAAGTTATAATTATGGACATAAATTTCGCCGCTAAAATTGAATATCGTTCGCGTGTAATAACATTTAGGGTATAAATATAATTTGCCAACTTTTGGATTAGCGCCTCGGTCTGTAACGTGCAACAATAAATTTGTGCAAATACGCAAACTTCTTTCGGGTGGCAGCACTGGTTGCGTGATGTCATGAGCGCTGCCGTTCAAAATTTCGTTAGCGTGATGGTGATTAATTTAGACAATTAAATTAGGATCTGGTAACAGAATGAACGTGTGTGGTATAGACGATTTGTTATACAGTAAGTACAGTTGTATGCAGTAAAATCGCTAGAGCTACTGCTCTTAACTTTGAAACCCTTCTGCGAAGACTTGTTTATATATGCATGAATATGAATATGCAAAGAGAGTAGTGTTTTAGTTAGATTATGCACTGAGATGAGTAGGCACAAGCAAACACCTTTAATCAACCACTATATATTAGGGCTCACGGCTGTAACAATACACAAGCCTCTCGATTCGATCCACTTCCCTCGATATTAGCCTCTCGATCATCTCAGGCGTTCTGCAGATCTAGCCTTGGTCGATTCGATCCCCCGTCTCGAATATTGAGCCTCTCAGATTCGAATTCCGGCAATAATTTGAAATGTTATTCGCTTATTTTTTATATTTTCGCACTTATTTTGCAATAATAAATTATTAGAAGATTCCCAAATGAATACTAAATGGTAGTGGTTGTTCAATGCTGGTTGTAGATTCTCGTAATCGATCATGTTGGACCCAAGTAACCGATGATCGGTTACAATCGGTTACTCAGGGGTGTTGAATGCACTGCTATGTGTGTGCATGTACGTGTGTGCATGTATGTGCTGTGTTTAGCCCTGTTTACTGTTTGTTTTGCACGTGTTTACTTACTGTGTGTATAATACATTGTATGTTAATAAAGGATAACTTGTATAGTAGCGATGATATCTCTGATTCTCATCACTTTTACCAAGTTTTACATTTATTTCGATTTTTTTTTCCGATGAAATCGATTATGGAGTTTTTTGAATACGGCAAGGCGTTGGTTTCGGCACTGTTCAACGATTGACAAGTCATAATGAATGATCGTGACATCATCCTACTAATGGTGAATTAGACTAGGACTCTAGAGGAGCTACATATGACACTGCACAGGCCGCTGGTAACATTGTGAGTAAGTACACTCCACAGTATAATATTGCGATAGTGCGCGCCATCTATTGGGAGGAAAAAATTGTATCGAAGTGGAACCGAAAATACGGGGAAAAATATCGAGGAAGGGGGATCGCGATCCGATTCGATTTCGGTGGATCGTTACAGCCCTACTATATAGTATATATGCATCAATCAAGAAAATAATCCATGTACGTTCTGGAATGCCCAACACAAAAGGCAAAAGCCGAAAAGGATTATAGCCCTATACCGCAAGGCTCGACACTCAGCGTGGCCTGGTGGCGCGCGGGGGCGCACGCAAAAACATTGATGTCGGGCCACCAATAATTTTCAAAAGTTAAAATTTGGTGCGCCGATGCGGGCCCACTAAAAATTTCAGAAACGTGTCTTATGTTGAATAAAAATAATTTTTTCTTAGCGTGCTAATCCGTCATTCAAAGAGAGCAGCGAGCAAGGTTTGCGGAGCGAGGGCACACGTACGCAGCGTGCAGGCATACTACCGCGGGCAATACACGTGCGCACCGTTTATGCCGTCTCACTGCGGCTTGCAACAACGCACGTTATTTGTATTAGAACTGGTAATCCGGCCCTCAAACGCTGCTGCGACGAACCAGTTTCGGTCCGCGAACCAGTCCTAGCCAGTAGGTCAAAATCTGAGCCCGGCGCGCAGGCCAATAGGCATTATTTTTTGCAAGTGTCAGCATACATGTGATTACATTGTATCAAGCGAACCAGATAATGCGTCTAAGACAATAACGCCTGTTCTGCAGTGTACTGGATGGGAGGCGCGGTGTGTAAAATGAACCGAGCGATTGAGAGTTTCGAAGGCCAAACAAAGTTGGTCATAATAAAAAAAAATGAATGGAAATTTCCTTTCCTTTTTTGATGTAAGTTTGGTTCAAAATGTTAAAAACTACGGGACCACCACATGCCGTGCCGAGGGAAGGGTCGTAACCGGACGGCGGACACATGGGGCCAAGAATACTAGGGACGTCCTGGTCACCCTGATTGCTAGCAAGCTGGCACTGGTGCCTCACACTGTTTCGATGCGCGAAGCGAAACTGCATGCGTTCCGAACAGTTCGCCGGTAGAATAACTGAACTAATTCCATGAAGAATGAATGCAGTATTTTTATATCCGGAAAGTGTAATATTAGTGCTTCTTTGTTAAGTTTATCTTATGGCATTCCCTCTGTCTCCTTTACGCAACGAAATAATTTGAACTTAGACCAATTGGCTGCTGTTTTGTCTTTTTATAATGCACATGCGTACCCAGGGCTACTTTGTTGGATATAATTAAGGTTCTAACTTTATCTTATTAGAAATCTGCAAATATTTTTATTTTTTTACAGTTTCAAAGCCTGCGCAAGACATTTTAACTATTCATCGAGATTAAATGTATAATGTTTTATTTTTTAACAATGAAAAGCCCAAATCGTGTTGTTGTTTATTACAGTTGCTTTGTTTTTTAAATAATTTTTTGCAAATGCCTCTGTGGACTGTTTGATCTTCTTGAACGTCCTGAAACTGATGCGATAGGCAATGTGCCCAACGCGCGGTGTTTAGATAAATACCTGAGGGTTGAAAAGTAGAAAAGTGTATGCAAGGATTCCTTGGTGGAAAAATTTTGATGCCCGTGGATAAAATTCAAATGATATGCCTGCAATGCATCAATGTCAGTGTGTGGCCGGCGCAAATTGGGGTGTGAGGTTTGTTCTTTAAAGACTTGTGCAAGTGCGTCAGAACGGCGCAAATTCTTCAAAATAATCAGATGACAATTATCGCAAGCCTGGCGGGTCCGCCCCCCCGCGCGCGCCCGCCCCGCGGTGCTAGGCGTGGGGGCGAGATTGAAATAAAAAGTTTATGTTTTTTCTATTGGTTTTTTTTTTCGGCCACCAAGAGATTTTCATTTTCGCGGGCCAACCGAAAAATTTGAAAATCTATTGATTTTTGGTGGCCCGATCGGGGCCCAAACTGAAAAAAAAAAGTTAGTGGTTCCGAGCCCCTTGCCTATCGTAGCAACGGCCAGTGTGCTCTGGTATTTGCTACAACTGTAAATGCAAATAAGGAGTCACATACGTGGAGCCTTCTGCTGAAAGTTGTGAGTAATACAGATAAGGCCAGTCAGCATGTGTTTACCTGAGTCTGACTTTTCACCTGCAATGTCCTTCAACGCAAACACCTGAAGTTCCTCGTTAACATCGCAGCCGGCCGTCTCTGCATCCCAACATTGAAACCCTGCAAGAAACAAAAGGCATGGATAGTAATATGAATATATAGGAATAACAAAGGCAGGGTTCTCACCAAGAATTTCAAAATGCACGCCATTTATAAATAGATCTAGGGAAGAATCTAGGATGGGGTTGTACCAATTGGAGTCACAGCGGTAGAAATTAACTTTTGAACAAGGGAGTCCAACGGACTCCCTGCTCTCAAAAAAAGGGAGTCCGCAGCAAAATGAGGGAGTCCGTAGTCTGAAGTTCAAAATTAAAGATTTGCTGAAAAAATACGGTAATTCCGCGAGGCCGTACTCTGGAACGAACTAGTTAGTATAGCAGAATTTTCAGGGTGTCACACGGACTCCTGCATATGTCAAATCAGGGAGTCCGACAGTAAATCAGGGAGTATTTGACTCCGGACTGCAGACTAATTTCGCACCCTGGAGTCAATTACGCCTGTCATAAGCAGCCCCAATACACAAGTCACCTTGATCAGTTCGGAGAATTTTAAACATTGAGCTGTAAAAACACACCATGGTTATGTTGGGATTATCAAAACACAGCAGGACATTTTAAATGGCATGTCGACTTGACAATTAAGATATGTCGAAAGATTTATTGGATGTGGCAAAATAGCTTCAACTTTGAAGGCACGTCAAACCAGACATACATTAAAGGCCACGAAATGCACGCTTTCTGTACTGTTTATCATACAGTCATACTACTTTGTATTGTTCCCTTTTCATGAATCCAACACCACCTAAACTAAACTCCGTCTTCCTTATTCCTGGCCTAGGGAAAATGTACACTTGTCCATAACTATAAAAAAGAGGACTGAAGAGTTTTAAGATATTACCAGAAAATATAAGCATCCACGTGTCAGTGTGCTTACGTGTGCGCACACATTGATAAAAGAAATATGCAGTTGTTGCACATTTATCTACATGTGACCAAATCTATTAGTGTATAAAGTTCAATATGCTCTTGGGTAATGCAAATGACAGCGAGCTAAAATAACTGTTTGTAATTTTAATTAATATTAATTGCAGTGAACAGCCTGCATGCAAATTTATGCAGTTGGAAGTACTACATGTATATATGTTTCCCCGCCCATGTTAATATTTAGGTAAAGTCTGTCAAAATCAGTTCTACTGAAGCATAAGAAGCTTATGCATGTACCAAATAACCACTGGTAAAATTCAGATCAACCAGGCTGCAGAACTTTAGCCTTACACGAGGCGTATAGAAAGAAAAACACACTAGTGCCATAGACCAGTCTCTGCAAGTTGTTTTCAGCTAATAAAACAGAATTCACTTTCGTATTGATCCTACTGGTTGTAACAGTTCGAGCTGCCTCCAAGCACAGCATGAGCACTGCCTTTTACTGTACATCCACGCCCTAGACTGCATGGTGACTCATATGTGATGTTTGACAAAATTGCATGCAGTGGCATTGGTACTGAGGCTGAGCATTTCTCTCTCAACCACTTTGCTAGCTCTAACAGCAACATCTATGAGGCCATTCATCAGTTAATTGGTTACACAGTCCCTAATGAGTGATAAGTATTATCATTGCGCAACTGCTTGCAAACTGCATTCGTGTGAGAATGGAAGGAAAGCATAATAATTCCATCACGTACCTTGACGAAGAAATGTATTTTTACATGTTAAATAAAAAATTTATGTTCATATAAATTAGTACTTAGTTTATTAAATTAAACAACAATGGATAGTACACCAATTTCCTCAAGTGCATTACCAGTGATACCAGATGTCTGGTTTTCCCAATCATAGTCAATCGCAATTGCACCATTATTCCAGCAGCTGAGCTGCATCTCAATTAACCAAGCTAGCAATTAATCACACTCACACCAGGATATTCATGCAAGAATACAATTAAAATCCATTAACACTTATTAGAAATTACGCTGAAGGTGATGAATTGTTCGGGATTATCAACCGAATCGCAACTGATGCAATCTCGTGATTAGGTACAAATATTTTATGAAGATGTGCTATGACATGTAGAACCAAATCACAAAACTGACTGCACACATCACTGCATGGCTAACACTATGCCAATATTTAAACAGTACTCTAGGGATAATATCAGGTAATATCATAAGCTGCACCAACATCTGTACAACATAATGACCCACATGTGCTCTATGTAATTGGCTTACTGTCTGCTTGCAAAATTAAAAGTAATTGTACATGTGTGCACTTGGCCTATATACAGCCCTGAGGGCAGTAAAATGATTATCTCCCATAGATCGAAATGCACCAAGAGACCAATTACATGTATGCCCGTATAATGTTGACGGGTGTAAAAATAGTTTGCATTTATATTCATTTATGATCATTGATTAAACGCTGTGGCTATATGCCCGGCAGCCGGGCACGGTCTTCAATTTCCTAAATGCCCGGCAGTTCCTAACCCTAACCCTCGTTTACTTGAGATAACGCTGAAAATTAAAAACTGCCGGGCATTTTGGAAATCGAAAACCGTGCCCAGCAGCCGTCAGATATATGCCGGCTGCCGGGCATATAGCCACTCTGTTGATTAAAATCATAGTTTAATATGCTCTCTGTAAACAATTTGAGAAATATAGTAGGGCCTACATGAATAAATAAATGCAGGCATGCATGTTTTTATCTTCAATATCCTTATTAATAATTATATTATAATATAGGCTTCCTACCTACTTAGTACAACCTAAACCCCATGTATGTTAGACTATATAACTATTAACCCAACCAGGCTGTGTGACTAACGTCAATATACCTACGTATTCTAACCCTAGCAATGTCGTTTCTTGGAGCTATATATAACTATAAGCGACTCTATTTTAGCCGAAAATATTATTTTTTGCCTTAACACTTTCAAATAGGTAAGTCTGCCTAAAAAATCTTATTAACTTTGGTTGCAGGAACGCTTCTCGTATTGATGAAACAACATCGGTTTTAAAATCTAACAATAACATGTTAAAAACATCACAGATGTGTTTCAAAGACACACAAATGCACGCACGCACGCACGCACGCACGCACGCACGCACACACACACACATAGTGGTTAAAATCGCTAGTTATCTTCAGTGAAAGGAATGACAACAACATTCAACAGCAAAAACAACAACAACAACAACAGTCAACAACAACGACAGATTGGGGTCCACAGATCATATTCATAGACAGATGCCAGACCAACCATCATCAACCTACTAGTACTAGTACTACTACTAGTACTAAAATAACTACACTAACAAAATATGCAAGTATATGGGTTCATGGGGAGTTTATTCATGTGAGTGTTGACATAATATGCATATTTTTATTGTAAACATAAAGCACGCATATCTAAGTTTACGATACAAGTTACAGCGTCCAAGTGACTGCTGCGACAGTGCCGGAGTGAGTCACAACAGCAGGTTGAAAATTTATCGATTATATACGCCATGGGTTTGCCGGGTACTCACCTTTTACAATCTGTTGAACGATAAGACTTTTATTTTCTTCATCAAATGGTTCTCCAACGATCACCAGAAGAGAAGCCATTGCTTCTTATATGATTATGAATGTATACTTAGCGATAACCGACTATTTTAAGATGTTACGCAGCAGTTTTACTGAATCACGCCTAACAATCCAGCACGGACGGGCGTAGACTGGTACTTGCTCCCACCTCGATTACTCGATGGGTGGAGTAAAAAGCCGAAAAGTGGAACCGGGTACCAGTCTAGGACGGGCGCAGGTAGTGCCATCTAGCGGCAATATAGTTTATTATTTATCTCATAAAAAACCACTACTATTTGTTTATTCTCAAATAGACAATATATATAGTCCGCATGTCGACATTTTCAATGTGTACTGCGAGCCACAGTATTTATATGAGATGTTTTTTATTCATTTGCATATGTCTTTAACTACATTCTTGCATTTTCATGTGGGAGGAAACTCAGAAGCAGTCAATGAGGAGGTACGTACGGCGCCAGATCAGTGTCATCGGTGTCTTCGTTTTACAGGACAACGTCAAAATAAAAGATCGATTTAACCCTAATTACACCACAAACATGCGCTTTCACAGAGTCCCCCCTCCCCACTGACATTGTCTGTATATAGCTCATAATGAGCGTGAAGCACAAAGATGCGCCAAAGATCAATTATTGTGTGGTCAACCAGGACGATAATAAGGTTCTGGGGTGCAATTCCGCCTATATTTCCTGGGAAAACAATACATAAATCATAATACGGCATCGTTATCCGTGAAACGCTCGTATCGGACTCATATCTGCCACACTATGAACGTTGACTTGGATCTGCTCCCTCTCTCGTCATTACAACGCTGCAACAACATTTTTTCCCCAAAGGAATCTGCTCACATACCAGTGCGGCAAGAAATTGGGCAATTTTTTGTTGAGATCACATGTGCCGAGTAGACAACACGAATTGAGTAGTTTGGTATCTAAAATCTGGACTCCCATTACCTACAGTAAGTGCAAAGGTACATGACCTACCCAACATCACTGTTCTCAGATCAACGAATCATAGTATGTATATTCTCTGCCGTTAGTCGGCGCTAGTGTCGTAAATGACAAGTAGGGGTATGAAGCATTGTATGAAGCTAAAAGACATATGTTATAGGCCTACACATACAAATTTTGTAGAAATTATATATAAAGATTATTAGGATATTATAGAAGATATATATTAGATTATAGAATATGATTGGAGCGCATATGTACACCAGAAACGTTATACGAAAAATTCTCAAGATGCATATCAATAATGCAAATTATGGATCCAGACAGTCGATTTTTTATTTCTCATCATACCACATCTCAAAAACTTAGATAGCATATACAAATTACCATAACACAGAAGAAAAGCAGACGAGTGACAAAAAAAAGCTGATGCATGTGAAATTTAGTTAAGAAGACAATTTATGTGCAATACCATTGTTAGTCCGAGATTCCTCTGACCAATGCCCACACCCGACGATTATGGTGGATTTGATGTGGGCTAGGTCAGAGCAACTTGCCTATACAAACCGTGGAATTTCTCCGATCCCGCCGAGGATCGCTGTTTCATCGCTCCAAACAGCGATCCTCGGCGGGATCGGACAAATTCCACGTTTTGTATAGGCAACTTGCTCTGAACTAACCCACACCAAATCCATCAAAATCGTCAGGTGTGGGCATTGGTCAGAGGAATCTCGGACTATACCATTGTATGCCTCCACTATTATTGCTCCGTCACCTGCTTCAATAAATAATTTTTGGAACTAAAAATCTACAATTTGAACAGGTATCTCCTACCAAAAATTACCTGCATCGTTTTATTCACTATAACCATCAAGATATCTATTGTCACACGTTCAGAGATGTTCACGTCTCTACTACACTGTGTATAGATCCGCTTATGTTATAACTGCCAAATTAAAAGTGTAACTGCAACAAACATTAAATATAGCCATAAATTAACACAGCAGTTGATAGTACCTATACGCATAACAGTATGACCATGAGCAGCACACACCTTCCATAATGGAAATGGGAAAGGGTCACATTGAAAACCTACAAAGCAAAATTTTTGTACATCACTGGCGTGGATACAGTCCGACCTCCTTTATCCGGCCACGTCGGGACCGGCACCCATCCGGATATGGGATTTGGCCGGATATGAGAGTTATGCTCAAACACAGCATTTCTATGCAGTTCAGTAGGGTTTATGCATGTGATAATGTATTTACTCGTTGCTATGATTATTTGTAACAAACTGTCGTGTTTTATGGTTTATGTGAAATGGAAATAAAATGAAATAAAACAGAAATTTTACCGGAGGCATAGTGGACACGAGCGGACAACACACACACACACACATGCAAACACACGTACGGTTGGTACATCGCGCGAGTTTTGAGGGAGCTTTGAGCGAGTTTTGAGCGCGATTTTTAGGTGGAAATGAATGAAAAACAGAGAACATACACTGCGAGATCGCGGCCGGTTAATAGAGATTTCCGGATAACGGATGGTCGGATAAAGGAGGTCTGACTGTATATACCTTCCTGGACAGCTTCCCAATCACAGACGATGATAGTCATTTATCGGAATGTACATCTCTTTTTTAATGTGCTACACATGTGAGACAGTTCAACAGTTGTAGAAGGAACAGGAGAGTATTTGATCATTTACAGATCCGTCAGAATTCCCAGCTTTAGCCAGTGGATCAATACATTCTGAGCTTAGTTATATAGTAGGCTCTAGAACTTATATTAATCAGCATGTTTAGAGAGACTCACAGACACTTTATCATGATAAACATACCTACACCTGCATGCTGCTGATGATAAGGCCAAAACAAAATATAGGTGTGGTTACGGTTTCCCGACCGACCAAACATTTTATTGTCAATTTTCTTAAAGTAAAAAAAAAATTTAAAAAAATAAAAATAATAATAAATAATAAAAATGAATTGGACAGTTCTTGCTTCAAAAGGCACAACGCACATCCTTCGGACATGGTTCGTAAATAAAATATTTCAAGAAAATAAAATGTTTTCCCTACCTACCCTATTTTTTTGGCATGTAGTGGTAACCACACATATATTTTGTTTTGGCCTAAGACAGAATCTTACGATGAGAAGAGCAATATGCTTGCGGAGAAAGGAACGTTAAGCGATATTCTCGAAGTGCATTGGGAACACACTTTCTCTCAAAATGTAGGAGAACACATGGGGCAAAACACATCATGTGAATTGTTTTGTCAGTTACACCAACAGTTACAGCAGTATCTTTTGTGCCATTGCAGCAGTGCGAAGGTCTGTAAATATTATATCATTACAGTCAATGCCAGCAACACCAGTGACTCTGTCCCTCACAAGAAACCATCACTCATCCTGTGTGAAATTTCATAACTCTAGTGTCACATTGTCGGTTCGGCCCATTGCTGCACTCAGAAAGCATCTTCGTGCAGAGTTTTCTCCTTAGTCAACGTAGCAAAACGCTGAATTATGTCTGGGATGGAGAATTCGCCATGCACCTTGTTGTCTCTGGTCCTAATATTGCACGTCTGGCTTGTTTTCTCCCTTTCGCCGACAACTGTGAGAGACGAAATGCGTACGGAGGGTGTCATTCAATTTATAAGATTACAGCCCCTTTGACCACATCTCAGTTTGTTCAGCAAACATTAAGAGTTTCCAGTCGAGCCACCCGACTGTACAAACGAGTCAAAACTTTTGCTACGAGAAAGACTGTTGATATCTCTCTACCAGGTGCCATGAAGTCACCTGACTTTTGGAACCAGAATGTGCTAGAAGCTGAAACCATGGTAGAGGCCTAATCTGATCTGACAAAACCTATAGTAGAACAACTACAACTAACGGGTAAACAATCGACCAACAAGATAACAAACAGGTATATACCAACAGGTAGCAAAAAGGAAACAACAGGTAAGAAATGACGACCGACGAATCGAGCCGCGTACCGCACTCACCGAAGATGAAGTTGTACTGAGCAAGTTGAGCATTGCGAATCTTCTTGTTCAGCGTGGTTCCGTGGTCGGTGTCCGTATCGCAGATGAAGCCTGCGTCGTGCACCTGCTTCGTCACCTCGCTTGCGTACTCGTCAAACTGCGCCCCGACGGGCACGACGATCGCTTGTCGTGGCGACAGCCAGAACGGCCTGCGATGGATGCAAGCAGACGAGCGTCGTAAATACAAGAACGTCTCACCATCCTCTCTGTGCTAGTTTATCCTTCCCACGACAGCACGTAGAGTTCACAGAGGCATTTTCTTTTTATGTACACACAGAAAGGTTTGAGCACGCTGACAGTTGCATCAGATGCATTGCATTTGGTGATTAATGCAACAATTTCTCTGCGAGTTTATCTGTCTTACGACCGCACGTAGTTTGCAAAAAGGCGTTTTCTTTTTAGATATACGCAGAGGAGTTTTTGAGCAAACTGATAGTTGTATCGGTTATATCACATGCGGTGATTAAAGTAACTTTGGAGATTACAACATGTAGGCTGTAAGATTGAAACCACGGTAGAACTGACCATTTTCCACCGCAGCTTTCCGTCAGTATGGCTATCATTCGTTCGACCGATCCGAGAATGGCCCTGTGTATCATGACCGGTCGTTTCTTCTCCTCCCCACTGTAAACAGACGGAGCCTATCTTTGCAAGAATGCAATGCACTGTGTAGACACTTCAGTGACAGCACACAATTGTAATTCTTCCTAGTCAACATTCATAAGAAAAAAATTCATAATTTATCAAATTTTTCATTATGAATGAATGATTTATGATACGAAAACTTCACAGAAGAAGTCTGGATGTAATATTATATATCACCATTTTAAAATGCTGGTTTCCTTTTTCCGTAACAACATATTGTGCTTTTATATTTTGTTTTCAGGCAGTATTGACAGCATGTGCTGTTTTTCCCAATTTTTCTTTCACAGCTTCACTGCAAACTAGTCTGCATTCCTTGATCATCTTGTCTCATTAAAGGGAGAGTTTACTCTAGGTTCAAGGGTTATTTTTTGTTAATTTGGGTTATAATTACGCTACATAAAAAGTTTCATGGTTCAATCACCATTAGAAATATTGTTAAAGAATGTTTTAAAACTAACGACTACAGTTTGATTACAACGACGGTGGCGCCACTCAAAGCGCACGATCTGATAAGTTGCGCAAAACCACTTTCCAGCCAAGGGCTACAGACCGAGGGTGTTTCTTATTTATTCATTTAAAAGCAAAAGGATTGTAATATCTTATAAACGACATATAGTTTCAGTTATAATATGGATAAATTTGCCCTAAAATGAATATCGTTCGGTTAAATAGCATTTAGGTATAAATATAATTGCACTTTTGTGATTAGCCCTCGGTCTGTAACCTGCAAAATAAATTGGCAAATACGCAACTTTTTCAGGTGGCAGCACGGTTGCGGATGTCATGGCGTCGTTCAAATTTCGTAGCGTTGATGTGTAATTAATTATAACAATTAAATTAGGTATCTGGTAACAAATACGTGTGGGTATAGACGATTTGTTATACAGTAAGTACAGTTGTATGCAGTAAAATCCTAGAGGCTACTGTCTCATTAAGTTACAAACCATGCACAGTTGACACACACATATACTACAATACTTTAATATTCCGAAGTGTGAAATAACTTTAAAGCTACTACAGTTAACGAAATAATATCACACATGAGTTAAATTCAAGATAAAACCAATAAACTTGACCCACAACTTTTTCGGTGAAATTTTAAATTTCCAACAGCTCAACAGATGGCAGCACACACACACACACACACCTATCGTATTGCAGATTGAATCTCTCCGGCAGCTGGAAGTCTAGCTGGATGGTGGCGCACTGGTGTGACCGCCGCAGCGCGTCCTGGATCGTGATGTCAATCTACAAAAACACATAGATGCCGCGTGACGTCATTGTGAGTGTATCAATACGTCAGTGTATCGTCTTGTCGCTATACAACGCGCGGTCATTTTAATTGATTGTGACAAAAGACGACACACGAGCAAAGCCGTGCAAGCAGACCTCCCTCCATAGAAGGAACACCTTTCCAGAAAGGACACTTTTGGCGTTTTCATCTAGCGGCAGCTACACAGTGAAACTACCTCTATATATATAGTACAGACACCCGTCCATGAAAAATTTTCCGCTGCAAAAGAAATTTCCCCCATCGAACGTAATCTACACAGTAAAAACACCTCTATACTACAGACACGTGACTAATGAAAAAAAATTTCGGCATTTCACGACCTTTTTACACGTGGGGGGGGGGTTCACTTTCGATGCAAGCGAACCTCAAGCGAACGAAACGCGCGAGACGAACCTTCGGTCCGTAAAACGCTCCGTCCGCCGGGTTTATCGTCCACGGAGACCCGAAAGCATCGAGACTCTCTGCTAGCTGCTTCTCGGCATTGTCCCACACGTCGACGGTGCCGAGGTACGTGTCCGGCCGCGTCGCCAGATACAACTTGAAGGTGAAGCCGAACGTCACGTAAACCTTGTTGAGAAACTCCAGGCAGCCATTTATCTCGCTCCTGATCTGTATGCGCAATGGTAGCGCGAAACAATTTATTTTTAGTTTAGATTAAATATTAAATACTTATTTTTAATTAATTTTTTTATTAGTTCTTTTTTTTTGGGTACTGTGACAGACCGGTCTGTCCGTACGAGATTATTATGCACATCATCGCACGTCGTTGCTAGACTGGTCTAGCTAAACCAGCTTACGCACGATTTCTGCCGGTGCATGCTAAACTTTAAACTTTGCGGCACTTAGTTGCTAAGGGGTGTTTTAGAACGCCCCTATAGCAATGTGGATGTAGGACTCGAGCCACCCTCCGGTCACGGCAGGTGAACTGGTCGATTTCTATTCCAATTTAACAACTTTTTTAACTAACCTGGTCTTGCGTGCAGAATATGTGAGCGTCGTCCTGTTGAAAGCGGCGCACTCTGGTGAGACCGGACAGCGCGCCCGAAAGCTCGTTCCTATGCAGGACTCCGAAGTCGGCCAAGCGGATCGGCAGCTCTCTCCACGAGCGCGGCCGATGGTCGAAGATCAAACTAAAATGCAAGCACTCGCCTCCGTTAATTACCTTGCCAAAGGAAACCGGAGGTGACCAAGTGTGAAATTGTGCGTTTCACTGCAGGTGTGCATAAACATTTGACGTTTGTAAACTAGAAGCTGTGTGAAATGCACGCCGTGATTGACGCGTCGACTTTAATTTTCGCATTATGTTTATTATTATGATCGTCGGCATTACGCATTGAGCGGTCAAGTGGGTACAAGTCAGACTCCTCATTTAGAAGGATGGTCAGTACTAGAGTTCTGCTACGTTATCAGTAACGTGTTTTACCAGTGTCCACTCTCACTCACCAGTGTCCACTCTCACTCACCAGTGTACACTCTCACTCACCAGTGT